TAGGGTGCCCAGCACAGCCATGTGGATGACAGGTCCCACCACCCTTCCCTCCCTCCATCTGCCTGTGATGGGGGGAAGTTGCTGGACTCTTGCCCTCAGGGAGGGGCAGTCAGGGACACCAAGGGACACTCCTTCAGCAGTCTCTCCTGCCCGCCCTTCCCTGCCCCGTCCTGAGCCGGGACTCCCAGGCATGGGGAGGGTGACGAGTGGCAGGTCTGATACCCCAGCTCCCAGGGGAGACGGATCCCAGCCAGGCCCCAGGGTCCTGCTCCTGCCCCTTGCTCCCCAGTTCACGTGTATCTGAACTCTGGGAAGAAAAAAACGGGACAGGCACCTAGGAGAATGGTCCTGTGGCATGAAGCATGGAAGTGAGACGGTGAGAAGGGCCTCTAGCTGCAGGGTGGGAGCTGAGAGCGCTGCTCCCTGAAGTGGAGGAGAGCCCCACGCTGGCGCCTTCCTCACTCCAGGCCCTGGGGAGGGCCCAGCCCATCAGCTGCCCACGTCTGGGTGTCCTCCCACCCTCTCAGCCCAGCCCGGGCCACTCACAGGCGACTGAGCCGAGGGGTGAAGTGGAAGGCATCTGGCGCCACGCTCCGGAGGCCGCTCTTCACGATGGTGCTGGGAAGGGTGCAGCAGGGTCAGCTCCAGGACCTCCGCCACCCGGTCCTGGCATCTCTGCCCAGGCCAGCCCCCAGTCCCATGCTGAGCCTAGACCCTCCCCATCCCCCATCCCCCATCCCCCATCCCTCATCCCTCATCCCTCACAGCTTCCTCAGCTGCCCTGGACCCTGTGCTTTCTGACCTCCTCCAGCCCTCAGGCCTCAGCCTCTCAGGTCCTCCCAGGCCCCTGGAACCTTTGAGCCCACCCAACCCTCTGGTCCAACAGGCTCGGTACTGAGTCCTTCACCCACAGTCCCCGCTCCTCACAGGTTTCTCAGCTCCCCCAGGCCCCTCAGGTGATTGGGCTCCAGACGCTGCAGATGCTGCTCATTCTCGATGTAGCTGTGGGGAGAGGGGAGGGGAGTCACGGGAGGCCAGACCCACCCTCAAGTCCCCATACCCACCTACCCGCCTCTCTCACAATCACACACACCTGTGTGCATGCAAGAGCACTCATTTACACACACACAGGCACAGGCATGCACCCACATCTGCATACACACATGCACAGGCACACACCTCCTCACACAAGTCACACGTGAACATGTATGCATGCATCATCACACATGCACACTCATTTCTCATGGACATGCGCACGCTCAGACATGGACACACACACACACAGAGGCATAAATATATGCACAGAAATGCACCTCCTCACACACAGTCACACACATGCATGCCTGAAGCCACAGATGTGCGCCTGGGTATGCTCACACCCTCACACATGGACACACATATACATAGCTCTCTCGGGCACACGTACACATGTATGTGCACACTCACATTCATAAACACACACAAGTCCATTCTTGGCTTGGCATTCTGCTCTTTTACACAGGCCTGTCCTGCTCATGCCAACAATGGGGGCCCTGCTGAAGCACTTGCTTCCATAGGGGCCTAGGCTCTTAGCGGCCACTGCCCACCTAGCACAGAGGATGCCTCATGGTCATGAAGTATGTGTGCCCAAACACACCTGCTCACCCACCCCTCCACCCACCAACCCACACACA